ATCAACTTGAGTCAAGTCGAGTTTGAGTCAAGTTTAAATCGAGTTGAGTTAAATATTTAACTCAACTCAAATTTGATTTGATTCGTAAATCATCAAGTCAAAAAATATAAATTTAACTCGATTTAAACTTGACTCAGCTTATCTGACTCATAAATTAACTTGACTTGTTCAGAACTCTATTATTAATGATGTTCGAATATACAGCAGAATTCACTGACATAATATATTTTACTACATTTTTGAGATCTAGAAAAGCAACCAAATAGATGCAAATTCTTAATATAGAACTAGCATCCAAACTGGCTAGCCTAATACTGATAACTAAGAAAGATAGCACAGTACTACGTGTCTAACCAGTAATCAAAAGGCTTAAAAATAGAAAACAAATCACCACCAGCATTAATTATATCAGAAAGCATTTATTAACGCACAACACATAATAAAAATAGGCGCATTCAGATTATTTAATCATAGTCATAATTAGATTATTTAAATCACATGATTACAAATAATAAATATGAAATAGAAAAAGAAATCTGATTTCAAAGGTAAGAAATATAATAAGAAAAATAGATAGATATAAAAAATCACCACAATTAGGTTATTTAATTAGATTATTAACTTTAGATTATTTAGTTATATTTAAATTATTTAGTTATACTTAGATTATTTAGTTAGATTATTTAGTTATACTTAGATTATTTAGTTATATTTAAATTATTTAGTTATATTTAGATTATTTAGTTATATTTAGATCATTTAGTCATATCTAGATTATTTTATTACTAAATAATCTAATATAAGCCATTTATAACTAAATAATATAATTATATTATTTAGTTATAAACAGTTAGAATACTGTTATTTTAGTTATAAAATATGTTACAAAAATAATTCAGCAGAAAAATACTAGTTTTATCAGATAAAAAATTAAGTATATATAAATTGTATGAATAATGATAGGTTTTACAATATGTATCTTTAAAAATAGGATCATAATCCATTATTTATATTAATATTAAAAATAAGAACAATATCAAATTTTTAATAAAATGCAAATTAACAAATATATACCAATAACATATACCTATTTTATTATATTTTCAACTGTTACATTTGAAGATGTATTTGCTCTAATTCTACTATGAATATTTTCAATATAATAATCATTAAAACATAGTAAGTAATTCTTGATTGCATTAGCAAATAGATGATGGTTATCTATCTAATAAAATATATCTGATAAAAATACAAGAGGGTTTTATTATAATTCTTTCTCTTTCAACATAAAGCAAATGTCTAAATACGAAATACAATTTCTATATATTCTTCAAACGAATCAGATCGAAACAAAATTGCATAAATATCAAATGTTGCTAGAATCAAATTATTTAACAAATCAATTGTTGCTTGATATTTAACATCTTTACATGCTAAACCAAATTTTTGCATAATCTCATTTTTAATTTTAATCCAACCATTTGTATAAGTTCTAAAAAAAGGTTAATTCTCCATAACTTAGGTTTTTTTGCTAGTTTTTTATGTTTATCAAATATAAAATAAAACATTTATTCAAAAAAGAGATGATATATTATCATAAAATGTTTCCTACTATTAAGTGAAAGGTAAAGTGATCCTAACATTAGTATAAATGATTCAATTTCTTTTGAAATAATAGATTGTAATCTTGATGTATGTAAATATACTAATACTTTTCTGATAAATAGCTGTCCAGGCCAATCTGCAACAATTGAAACAACTTGATTTTCCAAATGCTTTATTTTTTACTTATAGATAAAATCATTTGTAATACATTTAAATAATTCTGCATTAAATGTAAATGTTGCTCATTAAAACTAATTAATTGAAGTCCACTCATCGATCTTTCATCCTTTTTTTGCAATAAAATCATTATAACTATGAACTGTTAAAAGTTCAATGCAATCAAAAGCATTAATATTTCTATATTCTTGTAAGATCTAAAATACCTAATGCTTTATATATATAATATCAAAATTTTCAGTATATTTGTTGATCAAATACCAACAAATTCTTAATGCTTCAACATTATTTGGATTGTAAATAGAAATTCTATTAAATACTATTAATACTGCAAGATATTTTATAATGGGTTTTATCACACAAGTAGCAAAATACTTTACTATTGATGTTGATACTATATCTGACCTTCGCTTTTTATAAATATTATAATAGTCATCCAAATTATAAATATGTAAGTGATCTTCCTATTATAAAAAAATATTTTAATATTATAATATACAAATAATAAAAACAAATTAAAAACTTACTTTTTTAAAAAATAATGGTTAATTTTAATTGTATGATTTGTTTAGATTTTTTTTAAAAGTTTGTATCTGTTTTAGTATATGCTAAATATCTAAGATTTGATAATATATTAATTGCTTCTCATATAACACTTGATGCTGTCAAATACAATCTAACCTCTATTTTGAATTGGTTAATAAATTTGTTACGCATATCAACAATCATATAATATAAAGCAATAACAGATTTTTTTGCTTCTTGTTTGTTATATACTAATCAATCCTTAGGAATAATTGCATTCACTATTGAAAGAAAAAATCCTGTTAATTCAGAATTAGCTTTTTCAATCATGGATTGAAATTGTATTAGATTTAATTCCAAATTAATAGATTCTTAACGTTATTTATTATACAATACATTTGTTAATATTTTTATAATTGGTGCAAATGTAGAATTATTTATTAAAGCTAAATAGATAAAAATAAAATTAAATGAAAGTTAGATATTTAATAAGAGAGTTTTTATAATCAATATCAATTACATTACCTTTCATTCTAACTTTTTCAATTAATTTAGATATTATATTTTATGTGTAATCCTTTTACTATGATTTTCTCAATCTTTAATTCTTTCTTTCATTTATATTATACATTTCTGCAATATAGTTTCACTATTTTGCAATAATATAGGTGACAAAGTTGCTTACTTATGTCAAGATAAGGATAAGTTTTTAGTGTATTTTCTGTGAGACATTTTTGATTTGCAAGTTCTGTAATTAAGCGAAATGCAGTGCAGTTACTTTATATACATAATTAATTATTGAACATAGTCTAAAATTTTTTTTATATTTTAAATTCCATTTTAAGACTTGTTTAAAAATTAAAACACATGAGTTTAAGATAGCATTTCAAATTTCATATTTAATTTGTGACCAATCACAGTCATATTGATCATCTTAAATAGTAGCCAATTAGAGAGAAACTCTGTCATGCTTGAATAATCTAAAAATTTTCTATTTGCAAATTGATTCAGCAGATTATTAGTCATTTTCTCTGAACTGCAAAATTATTAGAGAAACTGATGAGTTTCAGAATATAAATACAATAGATAAAGAACTTACAAAGGTAATATCAGGTAAATTTGCTAATATTATAAAAATAAAGTTTATAATTATAATATCAATTTTTATAAAATTTTAAATAGTCAATCACGTGAAAAGTAGATTAATTTCATTGGCTGCTTAATGTTAATTATCATGTGAAATTGAACCAAGAATATACAAAATAATTAATTTGAAAAAGCTATTTATTAGAAAAATATGTTAAATGATTATAATGTAAAAGAAAAATTGAATAGGAAAATCTCTAACGCTAAGAGTAATATGCGAAAAGATATATAGGGTAAATTATATTTGATGAAATTTAGTTTTTTAAATTTTTTCACTTACGAATTATTCTACGCAGCACGACAGATCACAAATCATGTGATTGCATCTGCAGCGTGTTGATAGCTTAAATAGCTTTTCACGTCATAACTCTGTTCTGCGCGTATGGTCAACACTCTTTATAACGAACTGATGGTTCTGTTAGAAAAAAAAAATAAATTATTATGTTTTTTATATGTACCATTACCCTTTTTATAATGAACTATTTTAAATTTAAAAATTTTGAGTTCGTTATATCCAGTGTTAGTTATAAAAAGGTTCATTATAATTTGACTGTATATTTCTTCTTATAAAATAAAATATTTCTTGAGTAAAAACAACAATCTCGCAAACATGAGCATTTCCAAAACACATCCTGTCCGTTCTGGTACATACTGCAAGTGAAATTTAACTTGATGTAAAAAATCTCCAGTCTCTAATGCTTTTTTTTTAGTTCTCTAGAGGAATGCGTGTCGTGATAAAATCGTTGATTTATCATTTTTGAAGGACTGACTAGACCTCGACGTTCCTTGGGCCAGTCAATTCTTAGAGGAGGTTGGAAAAGTTGTTGAAAGAAAAGATTAAAAGGTCTTTGAAAGAAAAGGTGCGGGTTTTTTTATTTGCGAAATGAAGGGTAACTCCTATCAGTTCTCAGTATTCTTATCTTGGATATTCCGTTCTTGAAGGCTGGTCAATTTAACAACATTATCAATGAGAGGTTACTCAGGAGAATTACTGTATCTGTTGGTATACACTCCAATCCTCAGTTTAGGCGCTCTAATTTGTTGTTAATAAAGGTTTACAATCTTTTAACTAAAAAAAAAAGGTTGCACTGCTAATCTCATTACTTCTATTACTTCTACAACAGGCAGAATCAGAACGTTCAAAGCAACGGTTGAAGGTGTACTGGGATGGAAGAATGTGGAAAGGTGAGTAATAGATTATGAAACTCCTGTATATTGTTGTATTGGTTATATGATTCGTTAAGCTAAAATCTGCTTATTATTGTAGAATCCTGCAAAGATGTAAATGAAGTGTGATCAAGAGATAGAAAACACAAATAAGAAGCTTAAAACGAATCAAAACTTTTAGAAGGGATTTCTTTACCAGCAGTCGTTTGCAATATTTTACCAAATTTGACCTATTTAAAGTTACGTAATAAGTCAAATTCAAACACTGTATCAACGGAACAGAAATTTCCCGATGAGGTATCAAATTTGATCAAGAAGTATTAGAGTGGCGTCCGGAAGTTGATAAGAAATACTAAGTACCAAAGTTTAGCCGACGTCGTATGGTCACTTCTGAAAAGGACATCTGGACAGCATCAGATGTAAACATTCATGAGACCTTAACTCCCCTTGATCATTCAATCCTTTTCTTGGATGGTCGTGCTTTGGAGAGTATAGTCGGGCATCCTGATTTCATAATAGTTAATGACAATATTGATTCGCAGTAGCAGCTCGTTCAAAAGCTATAATCTATTCAAATGGGTCTTCATCATCTCGACCATGAAAGTTACTAGGTTTGATGATATTTAATTCTCTATTCGCTGATGCGGCATTGACAGGGTTTTTTAAAGTTAATCCTTGAAGAGTAGTTATTATTTGTTGTAATAAAGCGGCTTGTGGTTTGGGAATGCAAAACCAAGTGAGTTTTGAAAGTACCTCCTAATGTAGATATTGTCAAATTATATAATCAGGAAAAGGAGAGTCTTGAAGGGTCGTTTGTTTGTTCTAATGATGACCCTATAAACCAAACCTATGGCTATATGTGTACCAATAGTTTGAGGTAAAAAATCCTTTTCTTCCTTTATTATGTTTAATGTTGACAGATTTGAAATGACTAATTCATTCTTCTTACAAAATAGATATGGTGTTTTATCAACATATGATCAAACTTGGTTCTTGAAAAGGGGAATAGAAAAAGTAGAGGATGAAGACTACGGGTGTTACAAGTATCAAACACTATTATGAATAGTTCTAAAAATCCTAATTACTTAAATCTGTTGCATTTATAATCGATCTCATGTCTAATAATCGACACGCTCCTTTTCTTAACAAACCTATAATTAGGGTTGTGATTAGTACAGTTAATATATTATAATAATTAATATAAAAATTAGTACAAGTACATTAAAAGTACGTGTAGTGTTAATTTTATCTAGTACATACAAATTTCCTTGCCTATGATGTTGTAGATGAGAAGGTAAAGATAATGAATCTTCTGAACAAAATGTGTTTAGTTCCTTATACCCGAAAGGTCCAAATGTTATCAGTCAGTGGTCATGTCAGGGATTGGAATTAGGAGTTAATTTTAATTAGATAATCGACATTTAAATTTAACGCTTTTTATAGAACAGTTTTTAGGCTATATAAAAAAATCCCACATAATAACTTATACTCAATTTTACACGTGATTTCATATTATTTATAATTTGTATCACCCAAATAACATATATAATAAACAAAAAATTGCCAAACTTGAAAATATTTTAATATACAAAAAAGCTGTTTAAATATAGTTTATGATATTAGGAAAAGCAATAAAATGAAATAAAAAATATTTTTTTATCTTTGTTTCAATAAAAAATTTTTTAAAAACTTGCATTTCAGCTTTCAAGTTACCCTTTTTTTGATAAAAGAAAATTTTAATGTTTGAATAAAATTATGAAATTTTCTTCCTTTTACCTTCATTTTTTGCAGAAGAATATGATAGTAATGAAGAGTTTAAACAAAAGAAATTTTATCAGAATATTTAAAAAAAATATCTGATAATATTAATACTGATGATATATCTTCTGACTTTAAAGAAAAATAAGAGTTATAGACTTTTTGGAAAAGAAATTATAACTTCTTTGGAAAATATAAAATTAATATTATATATAGTTATTGAATTTGTTAAAGACAAAATTCAGCGATATGAAAGTTTAACAAAATTAAAGCCATTATATAATTTATTTGATATATGACAAGTTGATAGAAATGCTATTAGAGAGATTGATGTATTTTATCAAGATTAGAAGTATATGATCTTTATTTTCAATATGATAATAATATTTATACAAATCACATAATAAATAATTAAAAGGTTTTAATTAAGAAATTATTCAATAACGTCAGTGTGTTTTTGTGATAAATATATGATATATTTTTTACAGGATACACACTATATATTTAGAATTTGAATGATCAAAATATTCAATATCTTACATTAGTTATGTATGTAAAGTATTATAAGTATGCCTACCTTTATATAAATGTGTATTTAATATTACAAAATCTTAATATATTTGTTGTTTATATTATAAAGATTTGGGTAAATACATTTATCATCATCCTAAAAAAGGAAAAAAAGTAACAATATGTATTACTAAAAATTTACATAAAGAAGATACAATATAGTGGCATAAATTTTTAACAATTGGTTAATTAATACAACACCAAATAGGAAATGATAAAATCCAAAAAAATTTTTAATCAAAATATTTAAAGCTTTTCTTTCTTTTGTTAATAATTATCTACTAATTCTAGTCAAACAGATTCTAATATTTAAATATTTAAATAGTTAATACGTTAATAAATTAAAAAAACTCTTTGAATAAACCACCTAGTCTATTTATAATAAAAACAATTTTTATAGAAATTTCTAAAAAAAAGGTTAAAAACAATTTGGAAATAAGCAACTTTGAAATAATATATATTTCATTTTAATCAATAAAAAATATTATTTATAAAACAACAATTTATTTAATTGTAATTATTTTCAGAAATTTAGATGTATATTCAAAAGAAAATTATGGAATTCATGATTAGATATTAATGCAAAAAAATCTGTGCTAGAATCTTCAAATACTATTCAAGAATATTATGATAGTTTTTTTAAATTTTTAAACAATTTATTTTTGGAATAATTGATGAGTTATATCAAAAAACAAAGTATGCAATTGGCAAAGAAAAAATGTAATAACTTACCAAAAACTATATCCTTCAAATATATAATAAAGATTGTAATATTTATAATGTTTATGTTACTAGGAATTACCTTTTCTCATTAAAATTTAGATCCCTTAAGTTTTAGCTAGCCTTGATTATATATCATGATTATTAGATTCTTTTTAACAGTTACTAATAGTTTGTTATATAACCTTACATAGTAATCAATATAAATGAAAGCTTACAAAAACTTAATGGAAAAATTGAATTTAGTAAGCTGTCTTATTTAAGGTAACAACATTAGAATTTAGCAACAATTGATAATATAGATTTTTAAAAAAAAAAAAGTTTCAAATTTGGTAATATTTATGATATTACATGATAATTTATATATAACTCTAAAGATAGCATTTCAAGTTCAATTACCAATTGAAATAGAAATTGAATCAAAAGAAATTATCAAAATAATAGTTGAAATTCTGTTGTTTGAAATAAATAGAATATTAATAAAGCATTAATTATATTTCAGCAAGTCCTTTATAAATTGTTAGATTTCAAGAAAATTGAAGAAGAATTAGTTTATAATATAAATTTTGATGCAGAAATTATCAAACATACTATACTTATTAGATTAGATCTTAAAACTTAATGCCAATCTGAATTCAGATGTAAATATTTTATGTATAGCTAAAATGTATAAAGAAGACTTTTATTAAAAACTCATTCTTTTCTAGATATTATTACAGATAAGGTTATTTTTCATTGATTAATCAAATGTTAGACAAAATGGTCAAATATAAGACCTCTTTTTAGACAATGGTATACATTGAAAAATTTTTACTCTGTTTTATTAATTTTATTTTTCAGTTATAGTTTACCAAGTTTAGTTTCATATTTAGATATTCATTTCTTAGATAAATTTGCATTTATAGTTAATTACTATTCAACTGCATAATTACTTGATCTTTATGATTGTAATTGGAATAACTATTAATATTTATATTACTAAAATAAAAATATTTCTTAATGAAATAATGAATAGATAGTAGAATATATTAGGTAAAAGCAAGAATAATAAATGTTCTTTAAGATTCATTGATAAGTTACTTTAAAAAGTCATATTACATTAAACAGTTAATATCTGATTATTAACATTATATAAACTTTTAATTAGTAATCAATAAATAATCTGATATAATCATTAACTGATAAAAAAATTTTAATTATTTTAATAAATTTATTAATTAACTTATTATATTATTTTTCTTTAAATTGTATATTTAATTTATTTATAATAGATTCTAATTTATTATTTTATAAAATCTTATAATCAAAAAATATTAGATTTAATTTTAATTACATATTTTTTGTAATATATAATATATTAACTAATATATATTTTATTTTATTTTTATTTAAATCTTTGATAATTTTAATTATTTATTTATTTATAAGTATTTTTGATTTTATTAATAATTTAATAATTGTTTTTTATAACTTAATACTTTGTTTTATTATTTTCATAATAATTTCAATTCATTTATAGAATCATAGTTAAATTAATTATTAGTTCTAATACTATATTTTTTCTTTTTTTAATATTTTTACTTTTAGAATTTTGATTATTAAATTAATATTATATAATACTTAAGCTTTTTTTTTAACTTTATTATATTTTTGTATTAATATTATATCTTATAAAAATAATAATTTAATTTGTAAAACTTTATTTAAAAAAATTTATTTTATAATAGTATCAGTTTATAATTAGTTTAATAACAATTATAATTATTTAAATTATTAAATATTATTAAAAGCTTATCAACTAAGTTTTATATTGTATCTTTACACTAATTAATAATTTATTTTTTAATTAATCTAAATTATCATTTAAATATTCTGATAATAAAATACCTATCTGATTTTTTCATTTTATGTAGTTTTAATTTGTAATTTTAAATTATTAGTATCAATTATATTTATGATTATATTTTGTTTAATAAATTTAACTTCAAATATTTCAAATACTTTACCAAAAGTAAAATAATATTCTTTTTATTTTTCATCATTTATTTAATTATTACAAAAAATTAAATCTTTTTTCTAATTTTAAATATTTAAATAAATAAATTAAAAAAAATAGAATAATTAGATTTTTAGCTAATGCAAAAATCCTGAAAACTAACTAAAATATTCTTTTGTAATTAATAATTATCAACCCAAATTCTAATATAATGGACTTTACAAATTAATACTTATTAATAATAAAATGCTATATTTTTAAAATAATATTTACACTACTATCTGAATTTTTTATATTAAATTATGTAAATTATTACTTTTTAGATAAATTTAATTAAAAATAATAATAACACTTTATAACTTAAAAATCAAATAATTATTACATTATATATATCTTTAAGTGTAATATTATTTAAAATTAAATGCAAATATAGCTATTATTTATATTACTTAATGAATTCTAAAAATTTTTTTATTTAATATTATAATATTACAGTCAGTTCTTTAAAATGCTTATTAGTGATAAGTGAAGCAATATTTATAGGTAGTAAGTAAAAGGTTTAATTTGATATTTAAATTTAGAAGAGTGTCAGTAAATTAACAGTTTATTTAATAACTATAACAATGAAATATTACCTTAGTCAGCGCTCTGTACTATACAATTATGTTAAAGGAATTAAACTAAACTATTATATAAAACTATAAATCAGATACACTGTTAAGCTAAAAAAAACTGTCCTCTATTTATATAAAATGAAAAATATAAAGTTATCGAAGATATAAAAGAAATAAATATAATAAATAAAATATA